GGAGTGGTGGAGCTGTGGAACACGCTGACATCGTGAGGCGCCAGGAACTCCACGAACTTGGCGTTGGCGAAGGCGGCACGCTTGCAGTGGAAGATGGACGTGACTTGGGTGGAGATGTAGAGAATTTTCCCCGTCACCAAGGACACGGCCACCGCAAACAGGTCCTGGGGAGAGAAGGGGCCGTGGGGTCAAGGACAGACAGGACGGGCTGAATGTGGCCACTCCCAGAGACTCAGAGCCCGGGGCGGCCTTGGCCCCAACAGAGACTCCCAGCCACTGCTGAGTCCACTGTGCTTTCAGTGGGCGAGAGTGGGCAGGAGACTGGCAGGCCTCTCTTCCGAGGCACCTGGGGAGTGGACTTGAACCTCTAATCATTCAGTTAGCGGTCCAGCGTGGTGACCACTAGCCCCCGCCTGGCCTGCAGTGGGTTTCTATCTGTCCCTCCTCAAATGACATGAAGGCCTGGGCAAGTGGCCCTGCCCACTGTGCCTGGCAGTCATGAGGCATGGGATGGTCAGCCCGGTCAAGGTGAGGAGGTATGGCCCAGGCATGGGGAAGAGAGAGAGGGGGATCTGTGCTGCTGTGGCAGCCACTTCCCTACAAACGTCCTCACTGCCTGAAACACCCCCCTTTCCTGCCTGGCACGCTGGTGGCTTGGCTGATCCGTGTGCGGAGTCGTGGCCATGGGTTGGGAGCCCAGCGGGGAGGGGGCGAGATGTACGTACACCATTCTTGGCGACGTGCTCTGAGGTCATGTTCTCAATCTCCCCGACGGTGTAGGAGGGCACATCCAGCCGGGGGGCGAGGGGGCTGGTGGGCATCAGCAGCTGGTAGTACTCCTCGTTTGCTGCCGAGAAACCATGCTCCGTTTAGCACACGGGCAGAGGGGGCGCGGGAGGAGGGAGGGACCCACTGGGACCCCGGGCTCAGCTGTCCTCCAGCAAAGAGCGGGGATGCTCCCCACCCTTCTGGGAATTAGCAGCAAAGCGCACAGCAGAAACCGAGAGATTCTGCCTGTAAAGTCAGAAGATGCTGGACATCAGCACTTTTAGATGCTACACTGTTTTAAATCTTGTAGCTCCTAGCCAGGTCCAGCGGGTCTGGACAATGGGCCTGAGCCCCCTACCTTTCACCTGCTTCATGCTCCGCAGGGCGTACTTCAGGGTGGCCAGCGTGCTGGCTCGTCCTTTGGCCTTCTTATCTGCAGGGAGGTGGACCTTCAGCTCTCTCAGCGTCTTTACCAGTTCTTTGTGCACGTCCGCTTTGCTGGACTGCTCACTGCTGAGAATTAAACACAGCGACCAGCAGCCCAAAGTGAGCGCCCGAGCAGGGCACGCGTTCCAGTGGCAGGTGCCTCCAGCCCCACCCTCTCAAACCAGCCCTGAAGGTCCCTCTCTCAGGTGCGACTGTGGGATGCTGAGCAGCCTCCCTGGCCTCTGCTCACTCCCATCAGTGGACTAACCAAGTCCCCAGAATCTGAGATAACTGCCCTGGGAAGTGTCCCCTTACAGGACCTGTGGTGACAACTGCCCATGTGGGACGTCCTCTCCAGAGGCCTCATCACCCGACCCCTGGGGTCATGGCACTCCTCCAGTGGGCTCTGGCTACTTCTCAGGTTTTGCTGGGAAGGGCCGAGGACCAAGGAGAGCCGCGTTGCTTCCTCCACATAGACAAGAAGCCCTTGGGGGCAGGGACTTAAGGGTCTGCAAGCTGAAGGACACCAGAGGCAAAGTCGGGCAAGACCACACCCTGGCGTGTGTGTGTGTGTGTGTGTGTGTGTGTGTGTGTGTCTGTGTCCTCCGGATTAAAAGGTGCAGAAGGCAGTGAGAAAAGCCAGTCTCCAGTGCCCTGATCCCCAGAATGAAGAGCCAGACCCGCCCCAGAGCACGGCCTTGCAAACCTGTGGCTGTGAGGACACAGGCGCGGAGACTCTAAAGGGAATGCTCCAGATGCACCCACCCAGGACTCAGACCAGCTCTGCTGAGACTCCGGAGCAGCCAGCCCCAAGGGGACGCAGGGCAGCAAAGAGCCCCCACCACTGGCCTTACCTGCAGCCGCTGGTGGACGGGTTGTGCTCAGACTTGGCCATCATCAGGCTGAAGGCATCTGGTCTGTGAACGAGAAGAAGTCACAGTGAAGCTCAGAAAGAGAAGCCTCTCCCTGTCTGCCCGGCCAGCTGCTCCACGGGAGAAAGACCGACCGCCCTGGGCGCTCCCTGTCCTGCAGGGCCCTCTGAGCTGGGACAGACTCAGAGTGGTGGGTTTGGTTCCCGGCAAGCTGCTGCTCTTGCTGGGCAGAGGCGCCCGTGTGGTCGAGCAGATTCTGGCTGTTAGTGACCTGCCCGTGTCCGGCAGGAACCACCTTCAGCAGGTCAGCCTCACAGCGGTTCTGCTTGCGGCCATTGTTGCAGCCACTGTGCCCACCCATCTTCTTGAGTGTTTCTCCTTTGTTGACGATCCTCTGCCAGGCGCGTCGTCTTTCTCCAGGGACTGCTCTCTCCTGATCACGTCCACCGTCCACAGCGACGGGCCCTCGCCCTCCTTGCCCGAGGCGCACTCCGGCACGCATCTTCCCAGAGCCGGGCTGTTCTTCCGGCAGCCCCTGGCACCTTCAGGACCTGCTCCAGCAGCATCATTCTTGGGTCGGCGTCCAGCCGGTGATGCGGAAGGCATGGCCCGGGTCAGGCGCCGTCACTACGGGAAGACGCTCCGGCTGTCATGGCGTCGGTCCTGGCACGAGGCGCCCCACGTGTCAGAGCAGAAGTGGCTCTGGAGTGTGGTTTTTGGTGGCTGAGTTTTCAGAAGTAGATCACCAAGTTTTTCTTCCGAGGTGCCCGAGTGTCCGGAACGTCCAACCCTCTGGTCAACCATGCACGAATCGCCCGGGGGATTCTGGGAAAACCCAAACCAACCAATCATGGCCCACCGACTGAGTCAGCTCTGACCCCACCAACCCAGTCTGGGGTTTCCAGGTCTGTAAATCTTGTTTTTCTTTAATTATTTTTATTTCAGGGGAGAGCATGAACGCAGTCCCCCACTACCACAAATTATGCAGTCGAGTTTCCCACATTTGGGGAAATCGCAGGGGTCAGCACATCCGGGGTGCAGTGCATAAGCCTCGCCCTGGGAAAACCACCTTCGTGATCATGGCGTCTTCCCTGCCAGGTATGTACAGACTGACAGCCTCATGTTTCTCCCCTAGAGCGGCTGGTGGGTTCAAACCGCTGGCCCTGTGGTTAGCAACCCAAGGCTAAACCCACAGTGCCACCAGGGCTCCTTAAGGGAAGACTAGACAAAACGAAACCCTGCCATGCGGTCAACTCTGACTCCTAACAGCCCTGCAGGGCTGTGCCTCTTCCTGAGAGTGGACACCCTTGTCTTTCTCCTGTGGAGCAGCTGGCGATTTCGAACTGATGACCTTGCAGATCACAGGCCGATGTGCAGTCACTACGCCACCAGGGCTCCTTAAGGAAAGACAGAAGCTGGTCAGCTGGCTGAGTTAATAAGACATCAGAGACCCTGGCAGCCTCGGCATGAGGAATGAAAGCTCAGGACATGATGGCGTTACTAAGGAGACGAAGCTGGCTGAGTGAAACCCACTCTACCATTGGCACCTACCCCTGGTGGGCATCCTGCGGTCCCACGAGCATCCCTAGCCCCTTGGTGCCGTCCCAGTCACTGCCCGGTCCTGGGGGGCAGTTCTCAGGGGATTCATTTCCGCTGCTGCCACTGCTCATCTCCACGTCATCCTGGAGCGGGGACCGGCCGGGCCCGGGCTCTAGAACGCCCTTGGAGGGGTCCCCACAGCTGGGAGTGGGGTCAGCATAGCCATTCATGTTGAAATCCTGGATCCTGCAATGGCGAGAGAGAGGTTCTGAGTTCAAGAGCACACACAGCGGTTGAGTGGGTGCCCCACTGTCTATCCACCACATTTGCATAGTGGTTACACCCTGGGCTGCCGGCCCCAAGGCCAGCAGTTTGAAACCAGCTGCTGCCAGGGAGAGAGACAGGGCCTTCTACTCTCGTAATGAGTGACCATCTCGGGAGAGAGACAGGGCCTTCTACTCTCGTAATGAGTGACCATCTCGGACACCCATGAGGTAGTCCTGCCCTGTCCTACAGGTTGCCGTGACGCGGCCTCCACCTGTGGCAGGAGCCTGCTTTTGCTCTGTCAGTCAGGGATCCTCGGGCGCCTGGGGGTAAGTACTGAGCTGCTCCCACAGGGCCACTGGCTCAAACCCACCAGCTGCTTCCTGGGAGAAAGGTGAGGCCGGCTGCTCCCGTGGAGATGGATGGCCTTGGAAATCCCAAGGAGCTGTTCTGCTCTGCCCTCCAGGGTCACTAGGGGTCGGAGAGGACTTGAGGGCGGGGGCTGGGTGTGGGGTTCAGCAGGGTACACAGGTGCAGTGCCTGCCTGAGGGCTGAGAAGTCGGAAGTTCACCCTGCAGGGGCCCCAAAGGCAGGCCAGGCAGTCTGCTCCAGAGGGCCACGGTCCTGGAAGCCCTACGGGACCGAGGGATGCTCTGCTCGCCTGGGTCACCTGAGCCAGCAGCGTTTTGGTCCCTGCTGCCCAGAGACCGCGTCCCTCTCCACAGCAGAGACATTCTCACAGCCAGTGGCACTCACAGAAACATGCAGGACCTGCAGAACGGAAAGCCGATGTGCTCTATTGCACTTCCACCCAAGTGAAATAAAAATCAAGAACCTGAAAGGAGGAAGAAGGGTCTCTATTTTTATGATTTTTTTTTTCATGGTAAAAAATAAGAGAACCAAAAATGGGGAAAAGATTCTTGGGGCAAAATACTGACTGAAGCAGGAAGCATCAAAAGACGATGGGAAGAACAGAGTCCCTGTACCAAACGAACTGGTCCACAGCCCATCTCTGGAGGCTGCACATGAGCCAGAACCCACGGTGCTGCAGGCAGAAGTTCAAGTGCCTTGACAGCATCAGCCAAAGACAAGGCTCTGGGAATGGACGGAACACTGAGCAAAAAGTTTCAACAAGCGATGAAACATTGGAAGCACTCACTCATCTAGGCCAAGAAATTTGGAAGACAGCTACTTGGCCACCTGCCTGGAAGAGCCCCCTGTTTGTGCCCATTCCAAAGAAAGGTGACCCAACCGATGCTCAGACGACAGAACAAGATCATTGAGATCACACGCAAATCAAATTCTGCTGACGATCATCCACCACCGTGGGTGGATGGACAGTACATGGACAGGGAACTGCAGAGGGTCAGGCTGACCCCATGCAGAAGAGGACAAGGAACAAGCGAGATCACCACTGACGTCAGATGGGTCGTAGCTCATAGCAAAGAATACAAGAAAGAAGTTTACTTGTGTCTTATTGGCTCTGCCAAGGCATTCGACTGTGTGCACCGTAACACACTGTGCATCGCCTTCGAAGAATGGGAACTGTACCGTGCACTTGGATCACGCGGCAGCTGTGCAAACATGACACGGGAGTGCTGCATGGTTTAACATTAGGGAAGGTGTGTCGGGTCGGAGCCTCTCAGCACACGTCTTCAGTCTGTGTGCTGAGCAGATATCAGAGAAGCTGGATTCTAGGAAAAAGAATGTGGCACCAGGATCAGAGGCAGGCTTGTAAACAGCCTGTGACGTGCAGATGGCCCCACCTTGCTTGCTGAAAGTGAGGAGAACCTGAGACACTTGTTGGTGAAGATCGAGGACCGAGCCTTGGGTGTGGATGACAGCTCAAGGGGAAGAAGACCCACATCCTCACAACTGGACCAAAGGTAGCATCGTGATGGAGAGAGGCTAAAGCTGTCAAAAATGTATCTTGCTCGGATCCACAATCGATGCTTATGGAAGCAGCAGTCAAGAGATCAAAAGATGTGTTGCACTGGGTAAAGCCAGTGTACAAGACCTCTTTAGGGTACGGAAAGGAAGTTACTGTGAGGACTGAGGTGTGTTCTGATTCAAGCGTGGTATTTTCAACGACTTCATATGCACGTGAAAGCCCAACATTGAACAGGGAAGACGGAAGAAGAATCAATGCATTTGAATGATGGTGCTGACGAAGACACTGAAAGTACCCTGGCCTGCTAAGAGGACAAGCCGATCTGTCTCGGAAGAACTATGGTCATAGCGCTCCTTAGAAGTGAGGATGGGGGAGCCTTCATCTTACATACGTTGGCCATGTGGTCAGGGGAGACCGGTCCCTGGAGAAGGACATCGGGCTTGATAAAGCAGAGGGCAGTGAAGGAGGAAGGTCCTCGATGAGATGGGTGGACAGTGGCTGCAGCCACGGGCTCAGGCACGGAGCGATTGTGAGGACGGCGCGGGACCGGGCGGGGTTAGGCTGCTCTGGGTCAGAACTGACGGTATGGCACCTACAACAACAACAACAAGAGGCAAAGAGACCTGAGAAGAACCACCCGCAGGAGGTCTCCTCCCTTCCAGGCTGACCTGGTGGATGGGAGCGCAGTGTGTGACCACCTCCACCTATCATGTTCAGGGACCGCGTCTTCAACAAATAAAGTACGCGGTGCAAGGAGAGGGGACCACCTAAACACCACCAGTGAAAGAACGGATAAAAAACTCTAGTATATACCAGGTGGTGCCAGAAAAACATGCACTTTTCCCCCAACGCTATGTATTTAATTTTTTTAAAAAACAAAACAACCTTATCACCTTCCAAGTGCTCTCTATGGCCCTTAATATATTTGTGAAATCTGCGATTCCATTCCTGGAAACATTTTTCAAGCTCATCTGTTTGGATGCTTGACAGTACCTCCCTCGTTTATTTCTTCACCTCATCTACGTCATCAAATCACTGCCCTTTTATGTCCCTCTGCATTCGCGGAAACAAAAAGAAGTCTCACGGAGCCAGGTCAGGTGAGTCAGGCATATGGGACGAGAGAGGCATGCTGGTTTTTGCCCACTACAGGTGCACTGAGATGGCTGTGAGCAGGTGCACTGTCGTGGTGGCCAAGCCAGTCCCCTATCTGCCACAAATCAGACCTTTTTCATTGCACACTGTCACGCAATCTTTTCAGAACCTCTAAATAGAAAGTTTGATTAGCAGTCTGACCTGGTGGAACAGACTCTAAATGCACTAGAGTCGGCACTCTTAGCCATTCAGGAAGTCGATGGATGTCATCATTCAACACCTCACCTTTCTAGAAATGAGAAAACCACTTGTACACTTGAGTTTTTCCCATAGCACTGTCCTTGTGAGCTGTGCTCATCAAACAACAGTTTCTGCAGCAATTTTCCCAAGCAGGAAACAAAATTTCATAGCCGCACGCTGCGCTGTTCTCTCAAATCAGCCATCACAAAAAACGAGGTTCAAGTGAAACTGCTTTCATGAAAAAAGTCACTGTGACCAGAGAGAACCTTCCCAAGTGATGCCACTGGGTGCACCAACTCATAGCGAGTTGCTCTATGCCCCCCACCCCCCATTGGGATACTATGCATTGGTAATAAACAGCGATAAAACCACCAATCTTCTTGCAGGATGGGGGGACGTGGAGCATATTGTGCTTAGTGAAATCAATCACAGAAGGACAAATATTTTCTGAGACCACTGTTAGGGACCCTTGGTGGCAATGGTGGGTCACACCTTGGGCTGCTAACTGACAGGTCAGCAGTTTGAAACCACCAGCCGCTCCTCATGAAAAAGATGAGGCTGTTGGCTCCCGAAGAGTTTCAGCCTTGGAAACCCACAGGGGCAGTTCTACCCTGTCCTGTAGGGTTGCTTGAGTCTGCATCGACTCACTGCCGTATGTATGTCTTTTGAGTTTGAGAGCAAGAGAGGCCAGAAAACAAAAACACACTAAGACAATGACTCTGAAAGCAAAGGTCACCATGGGGCAGGGCAAGGGAGAGACGATGAGGCAGCGGGCTAGAGGGGGGACAGGGGTTCGCTTGGGGGAAGGGGAGATCGGTAAGCCGCAAGAGGGAGAATAGAATTCAGAGGGTCAACATGAGAGGGGTGGTAAAGAAGCTTAAACTGTTGAATACAAAATTGATCCTCTAAAACATAAGCCCCCTACTTTATTCACCATTTAAAATTTTGTTTTTAAAAATCCCAGAATGGCGCTGGAAAGGCTGTTGACAAACTCAACAGAACCTTCTACCGGTGCCTCTGGCGTGTTCTGGGCTGCCAGCTCCCCAACTTTACGTAACAGGGATCAGGCTGCAAGTCTGG